CAGTTGTTTAACGAGTCACGGAACAGATGTTATTATGTCCCTAAGGATATCCCTAGTTTCGATAGACACGTATGTTTCAGAATCAAAATTTCAGAAATAACTTCGAACCTCAATTAGAGTTTAATGAGCGAGACACAACCTTGAAGTGTCAGCTCCCATATTTACTTCCCACTTAAGACAAACAAATCAGTTATTAGGAAGCAATTGAGAAGAAGTCTCGATCGCTGTCGATCGAGCCTTCTTTCTTCTTCTTCTCAAATCAGTTAGTGTGGTCTCCACGTAATGCCCCTTCTGCAAAAAGTAGTGCTATATGAAGTAAAAAGTATATATTACAAAGGCAGTATACCGTAATGCCGACAAGGATACTAATTTAACCCCTACATAAATGTTTCACCGAGGGATCAGCTGCTGCATGAGTAGGCACTGAGGTGTCTGGGTGAGCTGGGCAGACTATACCTCACGAGAACATCTTAAGATCATGCGCCTGTCCTTGAGGTGATTATGCAGAATGTGGGTAGTCTAAGACAACTTAAAGGAAATGAGCATTTTGTGCTTAATTATACGCAAACATTACTAGTGTGGCTTCTGAGAGAAGGCGTTAATGGCGCACAGCCAATTGTTTGCACGGCTACCACGACTACCAAATCGCGCAATCTGACGACAGTCTATTTTGTCCAGTTTACGTAGCTAACTTTTGCTTGGGCGGGTGCGACACCGTTGTTTTCCGTGAATTGTATAATCGTTTACTGCATAATGTGCGAATACATCCGGCTGTAGTTGATATTTTTCTAATCAGTACTATATTTTATAGTCCGGTAGTCGATGGTCCTATTTTATATGGTAGTGGACGGGTGTAATTTAAAGGACGTTGGGTTCAGTTGGTGTAAGCGTGGTCCACAATGTGACAATGCGCATCGTTGATGGGTGTTCATTCCATATTCTTTGTTTGTGGCAAGTCAGCGCATATAAATTTAAAATTCCTCGGTAAATATAACTGTGGCGGGCTACAGATAAATTTTATTCTTCAATTAAATGATGAAATGCGCCACCAGGCGGTCGCCACGTTGATTTATCCGCACCTTAATGGGCAATCGTTTAATGCCATCGTTTCGGTGTTGGATTATTGATAGGGAAAATTGCAATGTCGACACTCGCACAAACGACGGCAAGTACTTGATGACATCCACTTAGTAAGTCATTAATTGGACCTGTTACACTACGAATTGCACAATTCAGCCAGAGGGTCATGTGCTACCTGAAGACTGAAGAACGACAATTAACAACTTTTTCGACTTGCTGACAGGTCAAAAAGATGATTTCGTAATATGCCCCACTGTGAGATTGGGCGAACCGTACGTTCGAGGTAAATATCGAACAAAACCTAGCATGTCACATACATACTGTAGTGGGGACAAACAGCTTTACGTATGCAGCGATGTGTCAGTCTGTTGGCTGAATGCAACCTGCAAACTCTTAGGTAAAAGAGGTGGATGCGTGGTGATGTATGCTAAATGGGTAGAATCGTATGGCCTTCATGTGAGCACCTGTTTTAAATCTGACTGAGGGTGGCTGTGCAGGAATACTGTCATTGTGTAAACAGCAAAACTCGTATGGAGTGACTTGTAGATAGGGTGTAACAAGTACGCTTAGGTGTGATTGGCTGATGACAATTGATAAGCCAGAAATATACCATCTGGTCTCCGCTCTCTTTTACGTCACCACTTTGTCAACGCCGTTTCTGCTAGGGTTTTCGTGACTAATCACTTTTCATATCTCGAAATTTCTGACAGAAAAATTTGATACACAGTAAATTTCCCACCCATGGGTAATATGACAGGCAACATACAACACCTCTGCCGGTTGATTAAATTACATTTTAACCAGAACTAAAAAAATACCTATTTGTAAGTATGATAACTTCTTCGTTCTGATGAAGAGCACGTTTACCTTGCCAGTAATTCTCCATCTAGCATTGAATAGTCGTTACTTTTGGCAGAAGATGACATCATTATAGCTTCTTCAGCTTACTTGATAAGGATAATAGATAATGTCTTTGCTTGCATCTCAAGGGTGGGTGAATTCGAACAAGTACATTTTTTGTATACAAACTCTTTGTGGATAATATCATGCCCGAAGAGGTTGCTGCGCTCTTAAGTCATACTTCAGACTGTGAGAATGAGCTGCAACCTAATCTCGAGGAGCTCGTGTAAGAAGTCTTGAATGGCAAGTTCCTCTGATGCACCCTAGTTTACCCTTATCCGCATCCAACGTCGTAGCTTCTGTGATTTAGAAATCATGGTTGAATGGAGAGTCATGACCCACTATTTGAAAACCCCCTTGCTTAATTGATATTACTTCACACGTTGTGTGAACCACATGCTGCACATGTTGGTGTATAACAATCTCTGTCGAAGGTTCTGGAGTTGACAAGGCGAAGGCTTCCCACATCAAAAGTCAGCGAAGGCGGAGAAGGTTGGAATAGCTTTTACTGTAATATCGATGGCAGCTTTACTTGGCTACCAGACGTGAACGCTCGCTCGATGTCTTACAAATCAACCGGATGAAGGTTAGGACGAGCGCAAGCTCATATTTCCATCTGTTATGTTTGTTGCGGAAATGGGATGCATGTCAGATATTGATACAATTATAGAAATATATTACTAGAATATAATATCCGCTGGTTTTATTAAGTGCGATTACTAGAATGAGCACTCTTAGCAGTGGCATATTACCTCTAGCAGCACTATCCTAGCCCAAACTTAGTAAAATGTGAAACAGCTTTTGGTGGACAGAGGTGAGAGGGGGCCTCCAACATGTATTTACTCGG